GGCTCAATGTTGAGCTCTGCTCTGATTGGCTGTTTCACAGTGCGGCTCATTTCAGTAGCTCACACAGCAGGAAGGAAACACAGGGAAAATATATATTTCAATACTTTCTCTCGCAGTTATATTGTTGGGTAATTATACTGTATATAAAATGCGGACATCAGGGAGCCGCAATTAATATGCGGGGCATTGAAACTGCTTGCGAATGCACGATCGCGTTTTACTTTCACTTTCGAGATTTGCGATCGCACGGGCTGTGTAAACTACAGCGGCAGTATTTACCACACATTTTACAAGATCAGATGCTTGTCAGTGGTGCTCAGGATTACAGTTTTCCATTCTATGGCACCTTTAAACCTACGGAACTATTTAGTATAAAGGGGCCACAATGAAACTAAAACGACGGAACTAATTAGAACAATGTGGCCACAACTGAACTAAAATGGGGAACAAAATCTTAATTTTACAAGACTCTCAAATTTTACATGATCTAACAGATGGAATTTTATAATAGTCTGTTTATTTTAATTGTCCTGTTCAATATATCTTACTGAATATCTCTCTATCAATAGTATACAAGTCACCTGAATACGAATCGTTGGGCTTTGATCTGACTGTGGAGCGGCTGGTCTCCATTGGCTACCCGCAGGAACTGCTCGGATTTGTTTACGACCCCACTTTCCCTACAAGGTAATGAACTCTCATTGGCAGACCATATTTGAGACAGTTGTCAGTACCAAGACTATCATTTTATATTATGTTTATAGGATAAATAATACATTTAACCCTATATTTTATTTTTTTAAAAGAACGTATCCGTGTGTTTTTAATGTTTTTACAGAGGTCTGGTGTTTGACACCATGTATGGCAACCTCCTGAAGGTAGATGCTTATGGAAACATCCTGGTCTGTGTCCACGGATTTAACTTCCTGCGAGGGTGAGTAATCCCGGCCCCCATCAGGCCCTGCCTTTATGGTCTTGGTCACTGAACTCTGATGAAACCTATGGAGTATGTGCTCATAATGTTCCTGTGTTCCCTGCCAGCCCTGACACCCGAGAGCTCTATCCCAACAAGTTTATCCAGCGTGATGACACAGAACGCTTCTACATCCTCAACACACTCTTTAACCTTCCAGGTAGGCACTTAATCACTGTCCTACATAGCCCTGTCACTGGCTGCCGTTTAGAGACACATTAAAGGCTTCGAAAACGGTAAAACTCAACTGTTTAACTCTAGGAGTTTGGTGTCGCACATATTGCTAAGCATTCTTATCCTTTTCTCCGATGAACTGAAAATAACAGGAGTGTGTCCATCTCACAAATGTAGAATCCGTCTCTGCAGTCATCTCAACCATCTAATTCCAGCAACAGAATATAGACACTATTTTACCCCCAGATTTCTTTCTCTGGTGCTGTTTTGCGGTGTTAATAATATGTTGTTGTAACTTGCGTTACTGAGATTGTAACGAGTAATAATATTACCCAAATTTGATTAGTAATGCCTTATATTACTGCGTTACAGCAAAAAGTAATATACTACTGTAATATAATCACTGTCCTACATAGCCCTGTCACTGGCTGCCGTTTAGAGACACATTAAAGGCTTCGAAAACGGTAAAACTCAACTGTTTAACTCTAGGGGAGTTGGAAAATGAGCCCATTTTCAAAATTAGTGGAGTGTTCCTTTAACAGTGGCTTTTTTAACTTGTAGTACTTCCGGTATGTGTGTATGAGGAGCAGTGTTGGGCAAGTTACTTCCAAAATGTAATACATTATATATTACTAGTTACTGTCTTTTGAAAGTAATTAGTTACATTACAATATTACTGTCTCTGAATTGTAATGCGTTACACTACTTTTGAGTTACTTTTGAGTTACTTTCACCAAAATATCCACAGAAGTATAATAATAATAATAGGCCTAATAATAAGAAGAATGTAACAGGCCTACATTACTTGGAAATGCTAAATCCTCGTAATATTGCCAATTTTTGATGCTTTGTTTTGACAATATCTCTGGCTATCGTCGACACATGATACGACGCATCTCAGCACGGGGAAGTTATCACATCATTTTACATATAGACTATGATTTAATAAAAACATATTTTGTTATTTTTAGTTAAACTTAATTTTTGTTGCTTGTCTGCGCTCGTCCGCCGTCTTTTTCTCTTCTCCGACCCCGCAGCTCTCTCTCCGATAGCTTAGTGTTAGTGGCACCAGTCCAGGTGTTTCCAGGTTTTACTCGTGCTATTTCTCCATGTTGAGAGTTTGGTGTCGCACATATTGCTAAGCATTCTTATCCTTTTCTCCGATGAACTGAAAATAACAGGAGTGTGTCCATCTCACAAATGTAGAATCCGTCTCTGCAGTCATCTCAACCATCTGAATTTTTTTCTCTGGTGCTGTTTTGCGGTGTTAATAATATGTTGTTGTAACTTGCGTTACTGAGATTGTAACGAGTAATAATATTACCCAAATTTGATTAGTAATGCGTTATATTACTGCGTTACAGCAAAACGTAATATACTACTGTAATATTATTACTTTTGTAATGCGTTACTCCCAACACTGATGAGGAGTGTGTGTTTATTTGAAATTCCTGAGTCACTTCCTGAGAATATTTGTTTTAACTGACTAACTGCCATAATGTATATATTCATCAGAAACAGGTTCCAATTGTATTTGTGTGCAATTATTCTCTGGATTTTGTATTTTTTTGTATATTGTAGAACAGAGTGTGAGTAATGACGTGATTCATTCATGGTGATTCAGAGATTCATTTTGGTTTGATATTTAAGGTCATAACTGTAAAACATAAATTACATTAAAATCAGAAAATTATTTTTTCATTCATATTTTAAAACATATTTTAATAAACAATGCTAAGATCTAACTGAACTTGATCTGTAATCATTATGCATTATGAGAACATACAGAAAAAAGCAGCTTTGCCATTTTGTTTGGGAAAAAAGGCCATGTGTTTGGAATGACATTAGGTGAGTAGATATTACCAGAATTTAACATTTAAAGCAAATTATAACTTGAACTAATCAAATGACGTGAGAGTTTTAGACAAATACCTTCTTAACTGCAATGACTGCATTGTTTTCAAGAAAAAAATGTTGTTGCATTTTCAAATGCACTTTCATCAAATATGCTTGTGATTGCTGCCAGTTACAAACATGCACACTATTGTTCTGGGCCAGTAAGATTTTTTTTTTAATGTTTCTAAAAGAAGTCTCTTATGCTCAACAAGGCTGCATTTATTTAAACAAAAATACAGTAAAACAGTAATATTGTGAAATGCTATTACAATTTTAAAAAACTGTTCTCTGTTTGGATTTATTTTTAAATGTAATTTATTCCTGCGATGTAAATTGGAACAGCCATTACTCCAGTCTTCAGTGTCACATGATCCTTCAGAGATCATTATACTACGTTGATTTGCTGCTCAAGAAAAATTTCTTATTTTTATCAATGTTGAAAATAGATTTTGCTGATTAATGTTTTTGTAGAAACCGTAATCCTTTTTGTTTTGCTTTTTAGAATTCTGTGATGAATAGAAAGTTCAAAAGAACAGCATTTATTTGAAATGGAAATGTTTTTACTGTCATTGGTCTTTAAAAAATAAATAAATAAAAAATTCTTACTGACCCCAAACATTTGAACAGTGGTATATAATTTCAATTATATACAAAAATAAACAGGATCTGAGAACAACTTTCACAATCTCCTTCTTTCTATACAGGTGCATCTCAATAAATTAGAATGTCGTGGAAAAGTTCATTTATTTCAGTAATTCAACTCAAATTGTGAAACTTGTGTATTAAATAAATTCAATGCACACAGACTGAAGTAGTTTAAGTCTTTGGTTCTTTTAATTGTGATGATTTTGGCTCACATTTAACAAAAACCCACCAACTCACTATCTCAACAAATTAGAATACTCCATAAGACCAATAAAAAAAAACATTTTTAATGAATTGTTGGCCTTCTGGAAAGTATGTTAATTTACTGTACATGTACTCAATACTTGGAGGGGGTTCCTTTTGCTTTAATTACTGCCTCAACTCGGCATGGCATGGAGGTGATCAGTTTGTGGCACTACTGAGGTGGTATGGAAGCCCAGGTTTCTTTGACAGTGGCCTTCAGCTCATCTGCATTTTTTGGTCTCTTGTTCCTCATTTTCCTCTTGACAATACCCCATAGATTCTCTATGGGGTTCAGGTCTGGTGAGTTTGCTGGCCAGTCAAGCACACCAACACCATGGTCATTTAACCAACTTTTGGTGCTTTTGGCAGTGTGAGCAGGTGCCAAATCCTGCTGGAAAATGAAATCAGCATCTTCAAAAAGCTGGTCAGCAGAAGGAAGCATGAAGTGCTCCAAAATGTCTTGGTAAACGGGTGCAGTGACGTTGGTTTTCAAAAAACACAATGGACCAACACCAGCAGATGACATTGCACCCCAAATCATCACAGACTGTGGAAACTTAACACTGGACTTCAAGCAACTTGGGCTATGAGCTTCTCCACCCTTCCTCCAGACTCTAGGACCTTGGTTTCCAAATGAAATACAAAACTTGCTCTCATCTGAAAAGAGGACTTTGGACCACTGGGCAACAGTCCAGTTCTTCTTCTCCTTAGCCCAGGTAAGACGCCTCTGACGTTGTCTGTGGTTCAGGAGTGGCTTAACAAGAGGAATACGACAACTGTAGCCAAATTCCTTGACACGTCTGTGTGTGGTGGCTCTTGATGCCTTGACCCCAGCCTCAGTCCATTCCTTGTGAAGTTCACTCAAATTCTTGAATCGATTTTGCTTGACAATCCTCATAAGGCTGCAGTTCTCTCGGTTGGTTGTGCATCTTTTTCCTTCCACTCAACTTTCTGTTAACATGCTTGGATACAGCACTCTGTGAACAGCCAGCTTCTTTGACAATGAATGTTTGTGGCTTACCCTCCTTGTGAAGGGTGTCAATGATTGTCTTCTGGACAACTGTCAGATCAGCAGTCTTCCCCATGATTGTGTAGCCTAGTGAACCAAACTGAGAGACCATTTTGAAGGCTCAGGAAACCTTTGCAGATGTTTTGAGTTGATTAGCTGATTGGCATGTCACCATATTCTAATTAGTTGAGATAGTGAATTGGTGGGTTTTTGTTAAATGTGAACCAAAATCATCACAATTAAAAGAACCAAAGACTTAAACTACTTCAATCTGTGTGCATTGAATTTATTTAATACACGAGTTTCACAATTTGAGTTGAATTACTGAAATAAATGAACTTTTCCACAACATTCTAATTTATTGAGATGCACCTGTATATGTTTTTCTCTCTCTCTGCACAGAAACATACCTTTTAGCCTGCCTGGTTGACTTCTTCTCAAACTGTGACCGTTATTCAAGGTAGGAGTTCCAGTGACTATGATTCTATTAATCTGTTGTCTTGGACACTGCATACAGCCATACCACTGATTCAGTATCAGTAAATCTGTATCATTTACTGTGGGTGAGGCTATTTGAAGCTCTCTATATCAGTTCACCAGCAAACACGTTATGTCTTGATAAGAAAATCCTAATACAGCATAAAACATTTACAACTATGCTATAAAACAGGATGACACAAGCAGATTGTAGTCTGTGGTTGGATTCATGTTCGTGCATGCCATAATTTATCATCCATTTACTGTAACTGGCTAATGACTAATCAAAGTGCATGTAAAATAAAAAAGATTAAATTTATAACTTTTAAATGGCATGGAAATAATTCTACTCATGCTCTGAAAAGAAAAAAAAAAGAAAAAAACAACAACAGCCAGACCTTTTTAGTCTAGAAAATCTGTGATTTGTGTTTTGGTATGGATGCATGTCCTCTGAAACACCTGTTGGTCCTTTTAGGGGGAGAGAGCTTTCCTGTTTGGCTCGGACAACCTCAAACAAGGGAAGACTGTCCCATTTAAACATGTCTGACTGTCGATATTAAACATGTCTGACTGTCGATAAAATGTGTCAGAGCTGGAGCTCGGCCTCTTACTCTGCTGTCCCTTTGTTCTTTTTAAACCTTTAGCTGTGAAAAGGGCTTTAAGGATGGAGACCTCTTCATGTCCTTCAAGAGCATGTTCCAAGATGTCCGAGATGCTGTAGACTGGGTACATTTCAAGGTAAAAAGGTTATCTGTTTCTCCTTCTGTCAGAGTAATCTGTCAAATAGCAGGCAGCTATGATTAACTGTGAAATGGATGTAAATGGTACAGGTAGGTACTGGATTCCTGATTTAAGTCTTTTAGATTCGTTATCATAAGCTTGCTCTACTGTTAAAAGTTTTATTTATTTTCTCAGGGAACATTGAAAAAGAAAACAGTGGAAAACCTGGAGAAGTATGTTGTGAAAGATGTAAGTTTGTCTTTTAATTTCTGAAGTTACTGACTTGCCTTGTTGTGTTTGTGTTGTATTTCTGAGAATAACTGATTTTTCTTTTCTTTTCTTTTTTTTAGGCCAAGTTGCCATTGCTGCTGAGCCGCATGAATGAAGTCGCTAAAGTTTTCTTAGCCACCAACAGTGACTACAAATACACAGATGTGAGTTTACTGATGCAAATACATACATGAGATTTGTTTCAGAACTAGCTGCATATTGAGAACATGCTAACATGAGAGATTTGGATCGCTTTACACTGGCTGATTTGTGTAAGCGAACAGATCAGTACTCTAATAACATGCCACACACAAATGTTGGTTAAAATAATCAATTTTAAAGGGGTCATATGATGCTGCTAAAAAGAACATTATTTTGTGTATTTGGTGTAATGAAATGTGTTTATGCGACCTTAATCAGGGTAGACAGCATAGCTTTCAAAACTCTTTTGGTCTACTGAAAGTTTTTTCGGAAAGATTTCATTAGCTGAATAATCAGTCTGTTGGTAAATAATCCATTAAAGGGTTAGTTCACCCAAAAATGAAAATTCTGTCATTAATTACTCACCCTCATGTCATAACTAACTTTAAATGCATTGTACTTCTGTCCCTAAGCCTTGTTTTCATTCTTGTCAAATTTTAAATATGGTGCTACGCTCAACTACCTTTTTAATGAACATTTCTGACTTTTTACGTACAAATAGCAATTTACTAGAAAATGTACTACCATATATATTTCATAAATAAAAATGACAGTTGTTTGTTTGTTGGGAACAAAATAAAATAAGAAATACAATGTCCGCTTGCATTACAATTTTGAGCTTTTAGCAGTTTGATAAATCTTTTTTTTTTTTTTTACCCACAAATACCAATTTCTCAATATCTACCCAATACATTTTTACAGCTTTTTTTTTTTTTTTTCATTTATTTTTTTTTGTCAAGGAAAAACACTATACATTTTTACAGCTTTTTTTTTTAAATTTCAGTTATATTTTCTTGTCAACAAAACACACTTTTAAAATTCCCTCATATTTCCAGATTCCAAGACTTGAGAGCTAAAAAAAATACAAATTGTTGAAAAATTAAGAGTTCTTTCTTGGATGCAGATTAAAATAAGAAAAACAGTGTGTGTGTGTAAACTTACACCTTAAATAAATCTAAATACATTTGCTAAATAAATCTAAATCTTAGTAGGCAGCATAGTTAAGGCTATGATTTTCAAACAGCTTTGTGCCTTTAAAAATCCCTTTGTATGCAGCTCACTAGGTTTTAAATCAGAGCAATAGACAACTGCACATGCAACTGGTTTGTTTAAAACTTGAACACATACAAACCATCATCTTTTTGTTTTGATTTGTTTTACAGAAAATTATGACGTACTTGTTTGACTTCCCCCATGGCCCAAAGGTATAGACATTGTTTTTTCAGCCTGTCATTAAACCTTTAAAAAGAGTTTCCTGTCATATATTGTTGCTCATAGTAATGTTTTATGTTATAGCATGGCACTTCACACCGTCCATGGCAATCATACTTCGACCTCATCCTAGTAGATGCCCGAAAGCCTTTATTTTTTGGAGAGGGAACTGTTCTAAGACAGGTGGATACGGTGAGTACATCAAACGAAAAGCTCTACTATTACAAAAACAGAAGCAGACTCTCAAAGTCAGCAGGTGCAGTATTGCACATTCTGGAACATTTTATCCTGCTGAACACGATCACACAGAAGGTTAGTCAGCGCTGAGTATTGAGCGTTTATACTGAAGTCTGCTGAGCACAATAGAAAAAATCTCTTTCCTGTCATCCCTTTGCAGTGTAAAGCAGCTAAACAGTTCACTGAACCGTTGTGCCACTTCTAAGAAAGATATTTCGGTGCAAAAACCTGTCTGTAACCCCAACAAGATGCAAAATGCAAAATTGCTCTGAGTTCTTGTTTTGTGGGTGTATTTGAACCATTCCCTGATTTGCATAGTTAATTTAGTGAGTCGGACAGGCACGGTTTATTCTTTGTGAGTTGTTATTTATTTGTGCTGACAAAAATAGGCAACAGTAATGATGTTTATCAGTGTTTCTCAACCTTTTTGACTCCCAAGACCCCCATCTTTTAAGACAATATTCAAAGGCCACCAGAGATATTTTTGGTATTTCTACACAATAAATAATTTTAGAGCTTTGCATAACTAGAGAAACATTTTCATGACTTTTTATTATTATTATTTTAAATTGCACAACCTTTCATGTTTTAACTTATTTTAAAGCTTGTTTTTCCTATTTTAAGTCAACTTGTGGGCCCCTTGGAAGTGTGTTGAGTGGGCCCTGGACCCCTGGTTGAGAACCACTGAAGTACATGGAATGAATATTCAGACAGTCTGAATATTAATCAATATGTTCTCTATCACAGACTACAGGCCGGCTGAAAATAGGAACATACACTGGACCTTTACAACATGGCATTGTTTACTCTGGAGGTACTGGAAATTCTTGGATAAAGATGCAAATGACACACTTGTCAAGTCAAGTCAAGTCACCTTTATTTATATAGCGCTTTTAACAATACAGATTGTGTCAAAGCAACTGTACAGCATTAATTAGGAAAATAGTGTGTCAATAATGCAAAGTGACAATAGTAAACACTCATTTTTCAGTTAAAGGCAGTTCATCATTGTATATATATTTATATACTTGTATGGACAAACAAACACACACATACACACAGATGTATCTCCTCAAGGTCCATACACATAGATCACAAGGACATCTGGTTTACTACACTTTATCACATGATTTTTCACTGCATGTGTACAGTCACTTAGTCCAGTAATACTCACATTAGTTAGCATTAGTTAACATGAAAAATACTTCTGATGCACTGAATAATCTTAGTTAATGTTCATTTCAACATTTGCTAATGTATTATTAAAATCAAAAGTTCGCTTAATATTTTTTAATAAACCTGAGCTGACATGAACTAACAATAAAGAGCTGTATTTTTATTAACTAACTTTAACAAAGATTAAAGTTGCATTTTATTTGACAGTATGTGTACTTACCAAAGAAAGTACTGGGTAATATAAGGTAACTACATGGGTTAAGGTTAGGTTTAGATTCATGGCTAGTACCTAGTTATTCCCCATTTATTGTAATTACTATAACATAGTATGTACATGTAGAACATGGCTGTAAAATAAAGTGCTACCAATATTTATAATTACTGTAACAAATGAATTGTTCCTTGTTAGTTAATGTTAGTTAATGCATCTAAATAGAATGAATATTATAGTGTAAAGTGTTAACCTTAGTTCTGTTTCACTAAAATCAGCAATAGCATTGATATTCATAATAAATCAAGTCATACTGAGATTTTTTTTTACAAATAAAATTATTGTGATTTAAATTGCGCTATGATAAATATTAAAATTCTCATATTGCTGTTGCTTGGACATCAAGGCTGAAAAAAACAAAGGCATAAAATCACATTGGAAGAGCAAATATTGTAATAAAAGGAGTTCATTATGCAGCTTTTTCTATGCTGAGTATTGAGTATGCCTTATGTATGTGAAAATTAGTAATTTCTGACTAATGTGTTTTCATCTCTGCCCAGGTTCTTCTGACATTGTGTGTGACCTGCTTGGAGCAAAAGGGAAGGATATTGTGTACATTGGGGATCACATTTTTGGAGATATTCTTAAGTCCAAGAAGCGTCAGGGTTGGCGGACGTTCCTGGTGATTCCTGAATTGGCTCAGGAGCTGCATGTTTGGACAGACAAAAGCTGTAAGTGTTGCCATATATCAGTAAAATCAGCCATTGGCCTGTTTCACACTGCACGTAAGCAGCACATATTTATTTTAGGCGCCCATAATAACAGGTTACAGCATTGTTGCTGTAAGCACACTGGTGATGCATAACTGCAAGTAGGTGCTGAACTACTTGCAGTTGTTCATATGGTAAATATTCTATGTAATGTAAGCCTATTCATCAATGCAGTCTTTTGCAACATAGGATTTTATAGCAGTTTATGGTGTTCCATGTAGCTTTATTACCATTTGGATGTAAATGTAATCCCTTTTCACATTTAAATTATATTTTATTATCACCAGTTTTGTAATAATTATGAATGGCCAAATTCCAAAAACCATTTTATAAAATATGGCCATTACTACAGGAAATATTACTGTTGTAACCTATAACTTACTTTATATTCTGGATAGAGCTGCAGTTCTGTCACTGTGAAAGCACAATGTGTGCCTGCTGTCACAGTTACGCTTATGTGTGTAGTGTGAAAAAGACCTTCTTGTGAGAATCTCAGTAAAGAAAGGAATGCTCACACAGAGAAAGAGAAAGAGTGAGATGAGATGTCACACTTGAAAGGCTAAGAAAAAGAGATGTGAAACCCAATCATGACAGGGTTCTGCCCTCTCATTCACAGCTCTGTTCGAGGAACTGCAGGGCTTGGACATTTTCTTGGCAGAACTATACAAGTGAGTAAAGCTGCCTCTGTTCCTTCCTCAGCACAGGTGTGTGTGTGTGTGTGTGTGTGTGTGTGTGTACATACAGAATTTAGAAATGGACCCTGTTAGTTGTTGACAGGAAGTGGACTTGACTGAATTGCAATTATAAAAAAAGACACACAGCCAAAAACACAGATTTACCATTCACAAAATATCCATCATGTTGTTTTTAGATGACTTTATAAAAATAAATGTTGACTTCACAGTTTGAATATATTATATGACTATAATAAAGGTTCAGCAGTAAAATGTGGTTGAGTAGTTATCTCATAATATTTCAGTTTAATGATTCCTAGGATTGTCTGACTGTATAATTATCAATTCTGATGTTGTAATAATGCAAGACTAATCTGAAAATAGAACACATACAATGCAGTTTTAAAATAGCTAGCACAGAGCTGGATAACTAATGCATAATGTCCTGCATGATAAACAAATACAAAAATATATAAACAAGGCATTTCCATATCGACTGTTAGGTGTTGTATTGTGGTTTTGTTTGTTGATTATTCAAATTACACCAATTCATATTGGCGTTAATAGTGTTGACATAGAAAGGCATAATTCTGAGTCAGAGTAGCCTACGTGAATAGCTCTGAGTAGAACTTTTGAGTCATCTAGTAATTACAGCAATTATACACCATAACACACCATAATAGTATTCAGTAAATTAGAGGATTCTGGGAAATTAAGTGTCCTTCTGTCATAATGAACAACAAATGTTTTTAATAAAAAAATAGTATAAGCTTCTATAGGTGTTTTTTTTTTATACTGATTATTAATGTAATCTAATGTTTCTAGAAATAATCCATATGTTGTGTGTGTGGTGTGTGTGATAATGTATATGGGAAATTAGTGACAAGTTACATTTATTATTAAAATAACTTACACTTACAGCAGCTGTATTCATTTCATTCCATTTTCATGCTCCCTTTATTCGATTTTTGCATTGTGTTTTCTACCTCAGTTGAAATTCAAATCAAATGTAAGAATTACATTGGAATATAAAAGGGTTTCGCAGTTCAGTTGCTCAGTTCTGATTGGTGCACAAGCTCGCTGTACAGGGTACAGATTGAGAGTTTTCACCTGTTGATAAGCAAAGACTTTGACTCAGTGACCTCTCGATTTCTGACTCCAGCTGATGTCTGTCCCTTCCCCCTTTTCACTTCTTTTTCACTTTAAATCCATCGAATTGCTTTTCTCTCACTCACATTCTTTCTTTCTGTAGGCATTTGGACAGCAGCAGCAATGAGAGGCCAGATATCAGTGCCATCCAGAGAAGAGTGAAGGTAGACACACTAAATCACACACTCGCATTCCGAACATTTCAGTTATATCTGATTTTACTAGATGTGAAACGGCTGAACTTTTATCTTAGTTTTTTATTTTGTTTTATGAACAGCATATGTGACACGCCCTCAAGAAATGTGTTTCCAGTAAATAAGCTTGTAATGGTAGCTTATAAGTCTTGTAAATGTAATTCCATGGTAATCAACAGCCCACCACGTGTGTTGTCTATAGATAACATTAATAGGCTACTAGAGTGATGTTATACTGTGTATTAAATGTCACAGGGTTATTATTGTCAACTAAAACTAAAAATAAAACCAACACCTTAAAAAAGTAACACTGACATGTTGATTTGGTGATTTTCTCTGTCATCAGAAAGTGACTCATGACATGGACATGTGCTACGTCTCCTCTCCACCAATAAGCTGGTGTGTGGTGGGCGTTCTGGCGCACTATGGCTGCCGTCGCATCATCCAGGCGGATGCTGCACACTGGTGGTGGATGAGGAGATACCCCCTGACAATGTAAAGCGCTTTGAGTGCCTAGAAAAGTGCTATATTAATGTAATGAATTAATTATAATTATTAGTAAGTACATGTAACGTGTAACAAAGACACTTTAAAATAAAGTGTCATCAACCTGCTCTACTACCCCTTCAGCTACCTGTTCAGAGCCGCTCACGTGCTGGTGAGGACACACACCCACCCATAAACACAGGGCTGGATTGATACAAATACCAGTGGAAGTTCACAATAGCAGATACCCATTTAAAAATATTATAGAAACAATTCATGTGTTCAATATAAATGGAAAAACAATGTATGTAGCTTAAATGGGTTACACTTTATTTTAAGGTGTCCTAGTTACAGTGTAATTATACATTTAAGTACTGAGTAATATTAATTAACTACATGTATTTACTATATGGTCAGAGTTAGGATTAGGTTTTGGCTTAGGGTTACTTGCATGTAATTATGCATAATTTATTGTTATTATAATAGTAAAGTCGGCAGCCATATCACCCTGTAGCCCAAGACTGGTTGCCCACTGAAGCTAAGCAGGGCTGAGCCTGGTCAGTACCTGGATGGGAGACCTCCTGGGAGTGCTATATTAATGTAATGAATTAATTATAATTATTAGTAAGTACATGTAACGTGTAACAAAGACACTTTAAAATAAAGTGTTACCCCTAAATGTTATATTTCTCAGTTAATTGAACATGGCTAGATATGTTGATATTTTTAATACAATGATTTAATACAAAACATGGCTAGATATATTGATATTTTTCAGTTTATATTCACCAGACCGACTGTGTTTATGTTAATATCTTTTGGCATTTTGACCATGAATCGTGCATGTGAGGTTTTTTTTTGTAAGAAATGAATTCCTTTATTCAGCGAGGATGCATCAAACAGTGACAGCAAAGACTTGTACATTATTACAATCATTTTCTGTTCTTTTGAACATTCTGTTATTAAAAAAAAAAAAAAAAAAAAATTAAGCAGCACAACTGTTTTCAACATTGATAGTAATAAGGAATGTTTCTATTAGAATAATTTATGAAGGATCTTGTGACACTGAAAATTTGACTGCATCACAGGAATAAATTACATTTTTAATATATATTTACATAGAAAACGGTTATTTGAAATTGTTATAATATTGTACAATATTACTGATTTTACTGTATTTTGATCACATAAATGCAGCCCTGGTGAGACTTCTTTGAAAAACAAAAACAAAAAAATCTCACCGAACCCAAGCACTAGGCATAATTGCAAGTGCCTAATCGAGTACTCGGTACTAACAAAAGACTAGTATTGTTACATGTTTCTGAAATGAGTACCAGAATACTGCCTATAGGATACACACCCATACACACCCACATTTGTCCTGTTCACTTGGTTCTCTCTTCTGTGCCAAGCACCCTATTTAACATACCTGTTTACATATTTGTTTCTGTCTCCTCTTCTCTCTGTCCCAGATGCCCCATGAGTCCACAGTGGAGCACACTCACGTAGACACAGATACCGAGTCTCCTCTGGCCACACGCAACCGCCACTGTGTGGACTGCAAGGACATCAACTGTAAAAGAAACCAGCTCACACGCTCCATCAGCGAAATCAAACCGCCCCACCTGTTCGCTCAGCCGCCGCAGGAAATCACACACTGCCACGACGAAGATGACGACGAAGAGGAGGAGGAAGAGGAGGAAGAGTAGATGTTTTTGACCTATCCTAGGGTAAAGATCTGTAGGGTGATGATGATAGAGTGATGAGGTGGATGGATGAAGTAGACTATAATTGCCAAACCAAGCTCAAAAACTTACCAGACTTCAGTTCACCCAAACTGACAGTTTCCTCCATTAAAGATAACTAATGCGTAAGTTATGCAAAAAACAAAAAAAATTGTTTTATCAGTCACTATAAAAGCACATAATGTCATGTGATAAACATCCAATGGAAACACAGTGGAAGGAATACATATTTTACTGTGAACTGATGGTAAAACTTATGAGTTTACATGCATCATACAGACAGCATGCTGGCAAAGACTCAGAAAATCCAAGCCTGTTAGGACAAGTGTTAAAGTTGGTTATTGGATCCATACAGATACACGTTATAGTCATATTTTACTATTGTTTAATAGTTTTTAACAGTTTAGACATAACTTTTTAAGTAGCCAGTCCATTCAGTCAGATTAGATTATTAAAACCTCGTGTGTTTTAAACCTTGTGTTTTAAAGCTGTGTATGTTGGCAAGGTGTTTGTGTTGAAGTCCTGCGTGTGTTGAGAATCTGAATGAAGCACAGAAAACCGAAGCACGGTTCATTGTGACGTGTGTATGGAAGTGTAGCCAACACAAGAATCCAGTTACTTGGCAACAGCATGCAGCTGCTTTTTTTAAAGGTTTGTTGTTAACCTCTTGGTTTTCATCTTTTTTAATGCAGACATTTTGGTTAGCGCTAATGCTACAGAGTAGCAAACAGATGCCTCGTGTATTAGGGTGCAAAATGAGAGACATCATATCAGTACCTGCTCTAATTTCGGCAACAATGTCACATTGAACAATGACATACTGTATTTTTATTAGCCAGTCCATTCAGTCAGATTAGCTTGGTTACTACCTCCTGCAAAGACTGTTCCTTTAAAAAAACCTCTTGTGTTTTAAAGCTGTGTATGTTGGCAAGGTGTTTGTGTTGAAGTCCTGCGTGTGTTGAGAATCTGAATGAAGCACAGAAAACCGAAGCACGGTTCATTGTGACGTGTGTATGGAAGTGTAGCCAACACAAGAATCCAGTTACTTGGCAACAGCATGCAGCTGCTTTTTTTAAAGGTTTGTTGTTAACCTCTTGGTTTTCATCTTTTTTAATGCAGACATTTTGGTTAGCGCTAATGCTACAGAGTAGCAAACAGATGCCTCGTGTATTAGGGTGCAAAATGAGAGACATCATATCAGTACCTGCTCTAATTTCGGCAACAATGTCACATTGAACAATGACATACTGTATTTTTATACTCTTATATAAGCTAAACAGAACACTCTAGTTTTGTCTCAGACATTACACATGCCATTAATATCTGCCTCACATAAGAAAACTATTAAAATATCATATAGTAAGTGACCTTGATATGCAAAAAAATATGTATAAAACGGTGTTTTATGGCCTGAGCAGCTTATTACACATCAGTAAATGAAAAGTCATTGAGAGAAAAGTACAATGAAGTAAACAGCTGGACATTGTGAAGATGATAGGTTGAGAAAGAAAGTGCTGTTGCTTTGGTAAATGTTTTTTATAGAAATGAAAGCAGTCCTGGATAATGTTTGAACTCTGTCAATGGTTTACTCTGATGTGGACCAAACGGTGTTGAGAAATTGTGTTCGGTTTAGCTTCAAGGGTCCTATTAGAGACTTTTAGGTGTCTCCACAGCAAGTATGTGGAGTTTTTAAAGAAATAAACATTATTTTTTGAGTATAATGGTGGTTCACGGTTTAGAGAGGAAGTGGTTTTAGCTGTGGGAAGTGTTTCAAGTGCATGAAACATGTAGATTAGGATGATTAGTGTGACTTTTATATGCATTACTCAGAGATAGTATGTAGGATCTGTTTGAATGAAGCTACCCAATCCATAGTGTAATGTGTATAACTCGTATGCATATTGTAACTGTATGTTTTTTTTATTTGATAAGAATGTAGTTTTGTTTTGTTTTGTTTTTTTCCATGGGTCTGACTGTCAGTTTTTAAAAGGGAAGTCCAAGTAGGTCTAAAATATAAAGGGTTTTGGTGAGGCCCAAAAATGGTTTCTAGGTTTTCAAAAGTCGGTTTCCAAGGAATCAGTTAAAGAGACGTTTTTAAACATACAATGCATATTTTATTTGTCATTTTTTTTGTGTAAAAACAACTGGACAAACTAAAACGGGGCAGCTCTTTCAAAATATACTTGTTCTTGGTTCTTTAGAGACCACAGTATAGAGAAAGTGTTTATGTCCTAAAAAAGATCCAGTATCTCTCTTTCCTCTGTTTTTATTAGCTTTTTATATAAAAACAAATATATGTTGTGGGTGTGTATATATATACATAATACGGCCAGCTCCCTGGACATGGATTAAAACTAGTCCTGGGCTAATTTGCACTAGTGTTGGCAGTTGTCATTTTTAGTTGTCTATGCAAGGGAAACTGGCTTAGATTATATTTAAAAATAATATAATAGAAAGTGCATTGCGTTTAAACAGTATTCGTCCAATTTTCCAAGTAGTGTATCCTAGATACACCTTTAACGGGTGAAGGTCTCATCCGTATAGTCATAGGTAGCATTACATATATCTCTGTTTGAACCAGTGTTTTCATATTATATTTTGGCATAGTTTACAGAAAACAGTAGTAGCGTGTTAACTGTGCCAATAACTTACTAATATACTGAGTATTTGTTCCTTTCTGTTTTTTTTACCTTTTTGAATGAATTACGTTTTTGTGACTATTTTCTAGTTTTCAGTTTAGCGAAAGGAAAAGGTGCAAAACTATTCTGTCTGTAAAAGAGATCTAGCAAAATAGACATGGCATTTATGGATCCAATTTTTTGTTTTGTTTCGTTTCGTTGTTTGTTTAGGGCATGTGATTTCATGTCTCCGATTTCATTGTTCCCTGAATTATTATAGCTTCTGATTTATAGTTCTAAACTTATACATATAGGAAATTGCGTTGCAATGTCAAATAAAACAAATTTTCCATAGTGATATTGGTCTCCTGTCTTGTTTACTTCGTTAGCATTTAACTACATTTATATGCCATAGCAGGTTTTCTGTTTTAGAATAAAGAAGAACATGGCATGCTAACTAGCCTAAACCAGGATGATACGTAACGAGCAACAGGACAATACGCTGGCCATTCAGATTCTATTACTGATTTCCACAGTGACATTTGTCTAAAATACCACTTCACATATGTATGCTGCATATTACAAAATAAATATGTTGGAACATGATGTGAAACATTCAAACAAACCAGTTTCTTGAGCAACATGAGCCGTACACTGTCCTAACCAGTCCTGACAGATCATCTGAAAGCAAAAATGCTGGGATGTAACAATCACAGTCAGTCAGAATATATTTGATGTTTAATATGCAGATAAAATAATGGACCAGGGTGTGACCAGGGTGATGTGATGACCGAAATATCTTGTTGTCCATCTGTTGTTAGGACACAGTGTTTAAGCTTATACAGTTGTAGGATTTCGTTTAAAAAAATGCGAACAGTTGATTTTTAGGAAAGAACAGCACAAAGAACACAGTACCACAGTGAAACTGATGAATGTTTAATAGCACTTTCTAGAACCATTTTTTCTCCCTAGGGTTTACATTTTAGTTACAAAGTAGCTACAATTCATTAACAAAGCAAATTAGAAAAAAATGTAAAAGGCCAGAACCTGTATTTAACCCCACAAGCTGTCTAGCAAAAAATAATAATAATCAAAGTTGGCTTTAATTTACTAAATAAAGCCCAACAATCTCTGATCTCACCTCAAGTAAAATCTTTGGTATAAAGAGAAACAGTTTTAAGATTACAACCTTGTCAAAGGTTTAGGCTAAATTGTTAGACTGTAGTGCCAAGCAGTGGCTGCCTGTGGTACTGACCCATGTATAAATAATGCAAGTAATGCATTACTGTTGTTAATCTATTGTGGTTCAAATAAGCATTTGAACACATGAAAACATCAAGGGCAATGTCTTAAAAGCTGCCTGAATCAGTTTTACCACAAAGTCTGACATTGTAGAAACAGGGTCACGCAGCTGCCACCTATAACAACATATAGGAATAGTTATAGGAATAAGTTGTATGCTGTTTGATGATCTTGGCGGTTGGGTCAAAAAAAAAAAAAAGTATGGCAACGGAGAAAATGTAAGTGGTTCATCATTAAAGGAATAGTTCACCCTAAAATGAAAATGTACTGAAAATGTACTCACCCTCATGCGATCCAAGATGTAGATGACTTTGTTCCTTCATGAGTACAGATTTGGAGAAATGTAGCTTTACGTCCATTGCTCACCAATTGATCCTCTGCAGTGAATGGGTGCCGTCAGAATGAGAGTCCAAACAGCCGATAAAAACACAATAATCCACAAGTATGTCCACATCCACATTTATCCACATGTCTTGTGAAGTGCAAAGCTGCGTGTTTGTAAGAAACAAATCCATCAAGATGTTTTTTTTTTTACTTTAAACCACTGCTTCTGGCCAAAATATGAGTTTATAATCCATAATATTGCTGTCTCCAGTAAAATTCACCCCCCATTGTACTCTAACATCAAAATCCACCAACATATTTGTTTAGAGCTGTTTTTGCACGTAAACAGTGCTTGATCTGTGCATATTTCTCTCCTGATTCAGACAAGATACGTTTTTCACTGGAGAAAGCAACATTATTATATGATACGAATAATATTTTGAACTCTCATTCTGACGGCACCCATTCACTGCAGAAGATCCATTGCAAAATTTCTTCAAATCTGTTTCCACGAAGAAACAAACTCATCTACATCCTTGGATGGCCCTTAGGGAGAGTACATTTTCAGCAAATTTTCATTTTGAGTGTATAAATGTGTATAATTCTAAACACATACTGTATGCATAGCAGGAGTTTCCAGCATTCATATAAATAAAAATTTAAGTCAACATTATATACATAAAGGTAATACACACAAGTACAGCCATTTAAACACTATGGCACCTTTCTTACAGATGCATGATGGGTAGAACAATTTAATGTAGTAGTTGTTTTAATGATGTGGTCAAGGCTCGTTTTGTTACAGCCTGGATTCAGTTAGGAATCGCACGGATGCATGTTGATTCTCCCTTGCATAAAGTCCTGACAGGTCTGTCATTTAATTTAAATAAGTCTGCCTTCAGCTTTAAACGTAAAGTTATTGTGCCTTTGATAGAATAAAAAATTTCAAAGCAGACAAATAGGACCTGTTCATCCTTGGAAGTGAATCCAAAATATCTCAGACCAAATATACAAATGTGATACTATACATGCATACAAATAGGACTATAATGTACAATACAGTAATCATGATAAATCATCTTTTAAATAAAATGTGTTTCATTGCACTTGTTAAAAAATTAATATGATTTTTTTTAAGGCAATAGAGTGATTCATTTTTTGAAAAGGTGTAAAAGGTACTATGGGATATACCAGATTTAGAACAATAAAAATAAGCATTTCTGAAATATACATGTAAAAGACCCTCACCGGTACATATACAATGATGTATTTGTAACTATTTATATATAGCATGTGCATGATATCAGTGACACTCATAGAGGCACACACATACACATGCACAATTTACAGACTGGTGCTTGCATGTGCCGACAATTATATCCTCAGACATGCATGTATGTACAAATGCATACAAAATAAATAAATATGTGAGTAGAATGCTCTTGGTTCACGGTTCACGGTTTCCTTCAAAGCAGTATTTGGAACAGTCTTTGATTTACCCTATTACAGCATCTGCATCTGGAGTATTTCTTTTGTGTTTGTGAACATCACGGGGCAGTTCGAGTGTAGCTAGGGGCTCGTCATAGCACAAAAACGTCCATCCTCCAAACTCTTATAGTCTGGGGGACATAAACGCTGTGGTTTATCTGAATGAATGGGACCGGACCGGGTCACTGGAGTATCCCATTTTGCCTTGGGTCAACCCAAGCTCAGGTCCCAGTAGTAGTAGTGCACTACAAGAGTGGAGTGGTTTGGGGTGGTGAGCATCCGCTTTGCTCCACCACCCCACTGAGGGCTAGATGGCCCCCTCGCTGTGGCCTGTGTGGTTCGTCTTGTTGTGGGCCATACAGTTCTGTGTCTGGTTGAACAGGGTGGTGGTTTCATCAGTCACTCCATCATGGAGGTCTGTCAAAGTAATTTCGATTTTGGTGTACTCGCTCTCGGAGGACTGTGGCGTCTTGTCCATGCGTGACGCCATGATGGCGTTCTGATACTGCTGGCGCGTTACCTGTCAATAACACACAGAAAAGGGGGTTACAAAAAAACTGGGTTAAAACAAGACAAAATAATTAAAATAAGGTTAGTGTGAATTTAGATTGTACATTCAATGTAGCCATTCTCGCAATGCATTTTTTCCCCTCTTTTGCAAAGTCATAGAAATACATGGATTTTTTCATTTGCTATTGGGACAAACCAAAAATGATATTTGTTGTAGTTTCCATTCACCACTATAGAAGTTTACCAAACGATGATGACTTGCACTTTTGAGCACCTGGAAATATGAAATTGGTATTTCCATAGGAAATTGGTTCTCTTGTCTTTTATTTTGGAATTTCAAAATGATCTGTTCATCGTCCACTCTTCTCTTTTACCCTCAAAAAGAAACATGCCCAGTGTCGTTTTTTACTCCCTCATAACCACATAAAGTGTTTACTGTATATCAGACTGAAATGATAAAAGACCTTATTAAAGATAAGCCTACATCCTGCCTTGTAAAGCCACTTTACCATGATTGATTATGCCATGCTTCTGATCCAACTAAGCATTTAAATATCGTCTTACTAAGATATTATTTGGAGATACAGAGTGACAACTGATATTTCTATCATTTTAAGCAAGTAGTCTGGATTAAAACAGCAGATGTAAATGGGAATGTGTCTCCCTCGTCTACTTGTGATCCAATTCGACCAAAGTGCATCTTAATACCAGGTGTAAACAGGGCCTACAGTATGTTTCCATGAATAACTTTTAACATCCATGGAACCTTTCCATAGCACAAAAGGTTCTATAGAGGGGAAGGATTCTTCAGAATATTAAAATGTTCCACACACTAAGAAAAAAAAATCTTTTTTTCACTGAAAGGTTCTTTGGGGAGCCTAAAATGGTTATTTTATGGAATCGCTGTGAAAACCCTCTTTTGGAATGTCTGCCACAGACCCCTACCCACTGCCCAAGTCCATATCTATCCCAGTGCTAACACTCAAATCCACATTTGGTTTGTAACTGAGCCACAGTCCATGTTCATCACTCAGCCATAGGCACAATCTGCAAATGGACTACAGCCATTGGGCCACAGTTTAGACCAGGAGTCCTCAACTCTGGACCTCAAGATCCAGTTTCCTGCAGAGTTTAGTTCCAAACTGGATTAAACACACCTACCTGCAACTTTGATCAGCTTGCTCAGGTGTGTTTGATTAGGGCTGGAGTTAAACTCTGCAGGAAAGTGAATCTTGAGATCCAGAGTTGAGGACCCCTAGTCTGAGCCCCAAGCCAAACAATGGGTGCCACAATGGTATCAAAAATGTGCAATTAATGGCTTTTGAAGAATTACATGATTTTGTTTCGGGTATATTGGTTGTAATGACAAGAAAATGTGCAGAAACTGAAAGTGAGCTGGTGTGTTTAAGCAATTCTGTTTACCTTAATATACTGTACGTCTGACAAAGCTCTGACAGAATAGTCCGGCACATACATCTGCAGGAAGGCATTGAGCTGGTGGTTACTGCTGCCCAGTGACGGTGTGATGGCTTCAATCCGCTCGCTACGATTTAACGAGTCAGAATGGTTCAGTCCAAATGACCGAGGGGGGGATTTGTTTTCTGCGCAGGAAAAAGGAAAACATCATTATTTCATCATGAAAAAACAAACACATACAATCACGGGTGCAGAAATGATCTAGAAAGGCAATGTATAACTTATCAGCCTTGCTCATGAATATTAATTATCTGACTTGTTGTTTGACCAGCCTGATGCAGCAACAATGGCTCAACCAGTGGCGCTGAGTTAGGGGCGGGACTATCTGTTTGCACGAGCTTTAGCGGTGTGTTTCGAACCTGTTTAAAAGTACACTATTTCGTTCAAAAGTTTGGGGTCTTTTTTTTAAGAAATACTTTAATTTATACTTTTATTCAGCAAGTATGCACTTAATTAATCAAAAGTGACAGTAAATACATTTATAATGTTACACAACCACTGTTCTTCTGAACAGTCTATTCATCAAAGAATCCTGAAAAAATTGTGTCATGGCAGCACAACTGTTTTCAACATTGACAATAATAAAATGTTTCTTGAGCGACAAATCAGCATATTAAAATATATTCACATAGAAAATAGATAGAATAATATTTCACAATAGTACTGTATTTTTGATCAGATAAATGCATTTGGTGAGCATAATGGACTTCTTCCAAAAATATTCAAAGATCGCACCACTATGACCCAAAACATTTGAACAGCAGTGTATGTTTGTAGATATTCATGGATTTTTTAGTGCACTAAATCCTTCAGTGACTAGACCCTCAAATCTAACTTTATAGAGACACTAAGTAGCATATGGTATATTATTATTTTATAATAGCTTGTAACAGCTTTTTAGAACTCAATAACAGCGTCGTTATTTATGAAGGGGGTGTTTCATGTATGTAAAGTGTCGCCGCTGGCAAGAGTATGATAAAAAGCCTAAGAGCTTTCAAAGTGAAGACTGGCTTGTTTTTAATTAAACACAGCTTATGTTTTCCACTTCATAAAGAGGGGGGAAATTTACAAGTGCACACACACAAACATTCTCTTTACTCACACACACTAATGCTTGCTAACAGACATTTAATTTTTCACACTTTCACACTTCAGTACATAAATGTATTCTTTCTTTCTTGCTCTTACACATAAACACACATGTGCATGTATACACACACTGGTTTCAAAAGCGGGGGTGTGTTAATGCCACAATTTGGTTGGAATGTATGTAATCCGTGTTTGGATGTGTGAGTGGAGTGAGGGAGCCGCCGCGTCTTTAGTTCAAGGCTCCAATGCTGGCCTGAAGGGGCCCAACTATGAACCCTACATGCTGGTAGTCAGCATGAGGTATGTGAGAACAGGGAACAGTATGCGTGTGCATGTGTGTGTGGGTGACTATGTACAGAGGTGTGTGTGTGTGTGTGTGCGTGTGCGTGTGTGTGTGTGTGTGTGTGTGTGTGTGTGGCCCCCGCTGTCGCCCTTTACTCCAGGAGGCCTGTGAAGTAAGAATGTGTGGGAGGGATTCTGTGGGTTTACTGTAATATACAGCACAATCAACTGGACAATAAGCATCGAAACTGAATTTAGGATACACATGTTGAGCCGTACAAGGATGATATGACTTGTCAAGCATGTTGGTTTAACTATACCTGGAGATCCAGCAACAGACTCAGCCCTACTGACCACAAAGGTACGAGACAGAGAGAGAGGAACTGCAGAGAAGAATAAAGAATAGGAAGAAGAGGAAAGCATCAAAAAAGGTGGGAAACAAAACTACAAAGTGACTAAAAGGTAGAACTGAAGGGAAAAGGACTGAAAGATCAAGGATCAGAGAAAATCACTAAATATTACTTATTTTAATCTGAAAAAATAAGAAAAGATTCTCTTTTCCTCCATAATAAGGCACTCTTAGTATTACTGTAGGCCAAAGTTGTCACCACCAGAGGTCACCTATGTTCTGAGGCATTCCCCTAAACTAGCACATGGATACACTTTGGTAGAAGATTCAACTCCTGCAAATTTCTGATTGATCTAAAACTGTTCATAATAATTTGAAAGCACTCCACCATCATTTCAAAATAGCTAGTGGATGCTTCTCCCCAAAGAATTTCATGTATTTTTATGTTCTGTTGGATAAATAAAATATTATGATTTCTATTGTAACTTTTATAATATAACTAGTATATTATAGTATAACTATGATTTATGTTAGCAAAAAGTCAGCAGTCACAGGACTACTGGAGTAATTTTATATCATGTCAACATATTTTGGCAGTATATAAGTATAGGTTTTTCTTTTTAGTTTTTTTTTTTTTAATATAATGAAAATTGGTTTATTATCTGGATAATCAAGTGTTTATTTTAAAAAAAATACTTTTTTTATAATGCTGGAATCAGTCCATAAACATAATAATAATATATGTTTAATTTATATAGCGCCTTTCCCAAGCTCAAGGACACTACAAAAGCAGTAACACAATAGACAGTCGATTCACATAATCATAAACAGTCATTTCACAATCAATGAATCAAATTAACATCAGCTTATAAAATGACTCAAAACTGTAAAAACATAATAAAATGCACAAGATGGGCCACATTTGATATACAAATACTGCAAGTTGCTTGTCAATATAGAGTATGTCTAATAAACTATAATAGTTAGCAAAATAATTGTTTATTATGATTAATAGCAACAACAATTCCATCCATCCATCTTGTCACACCACATTTTTTTTAAAAGCATAAAAAAGACTCACTCTGTATTGCTGGTGATAGGTGCAAAAATATGTGTACTGTGAAATGAACATAGCATAGCAGAATCTTAATAATTGCACAGGTTTCTTCTTCCACAGATGTACTATTTACCATCATATTGCTCGCCCCTACAGATTACAGTATCAGTACTTTTAAAAAAAGCTACAAGACTAATGACAGTCCTAAATTCTCTTGCCATTTGACCTCTGGAATGAGACCTTCTGAAATATGCTGTTATTTTTTTTTGAATGTCTGAATCACAATCTTCATATAATAATGCCTGACTGGGAATAGTACAAAGTACAAAGATCTTCAAAGTATGTTTCCCCGCATACTTTTTGGACTAATACAGCCCACAACCTTCTGCACTATTGCAGGGTATGTGGGTGTATCATGTGGTATCAAGATAATTTTGCATTGCGGTAATATTCCTTAAAGGAACAGTTCACCCAAAAATGAAAATTTGCTGAAAATGTACCCATCCAAAATATAAGAAAAAGTTTGGCTTGTTGCTCACCAATGGATCCTCTGCAGCGAATGGGTGCCATCAGAATGAGAATACAAACAGGTGATAAAAACATCACAGTAATCCACATGACTCCAGTCCAGATGCTAAAAGCTGTGTGTTTGTAAGAAACAAATTAATCATTAAGGTGTTTTAACTTCAAACCATTGCTTCTGGCCAAAATACGAGCTTCCTCCAGTGAAAAAGTCCAATCTCTGTTGTCCTCTCACATCAAAATCCACCAGCATATTTGTTTAGAACTGTTTTGGACTTGTAAACAGTGCTTGATCTGTGCATATTTATCTCCTGATTCAAACAAGACTTTTTTTTACTGGAGAAAGCAATATTATGGATAGAGGACTTCAGCCGGAAGCAATGATTTAAAGTTAAAAAATTTCTTAATTATGGTTTTGTTTCAAACACACATCTTTCCACGTGCATTACTTGTGGATTACTGTGATGTTTTTATCAGCTGTTTGGACTCACATTCTGACGGCACCCATTCACTGCAGTGGATCCATTAGTGAGCAAGTGATGTAATGCCAAATTTAGGTCCATGAAGAAACAAACTCATCTAAATCTTGGATGGCCTGAGGATGAGTACATTTAATTTTTGGGTGAACTATTTCTTTAAAACAAAAAAAAGACATTTGGATTTAGTCGTGCTTACCTGGAGACGCGGTGAGAGCCATCATCCCATAGGAGGAGAAAGCTCCAGCTTCAAACTTCATTCCCTCCTTCCCTGCCTCCACCTCCACCTTCCCCTTAGAGAACAGATTACATTGAAAACCAGACGTTCAATATATCTAGGAACGGTTTTTAAGCAACTTCAAGTAGATACTGTTAAAGGGGTCATATGCTGCTAAAAAGAACATTATTTTGTGTAATGAAATGTGTTTATGCGGTTTAAAGTAAAAAAAACACATTATTTTCCACATACTGTACATTATTGTTTCCCCTCTATGCCCCGCCTTTTTGAAACGCGTCGATTTTTACGGAAAAATTGAAATCGCATCATATGACCCCTTTAATACTGACGGAGATTTTTAGTTTCAGTTTTTCCCTTTAGAAGGAAGGTTGTCTTTCGCAATACTCACTACAATATTCTTCTTTCACACCCTATGTTATATTAGTTGAAACGTTTCATACTGGGCGTGTTAAATACTTGCGAAAATCCCAGTTTGTTCTAGGCTAATAAGCTCAATCCCTTCTCTCTATGTCTTCTGCGGCCCTGGACCAAATAACCAAGCTGACCTGCAGAGTGAGGATGAAATAGTCCACAGGCTTGTTGCGGTGGAAGAGGTAATGTTCGATGGCCTTCTTATTCTTCTCATTATATTTGAGCTCCTGGATGACGTTGGGGTGCTTGAGGAGACGTAGAAGGATCTTCTCAGACATCTGGCTTGGACTAAATGCTTCTACTTCTGTAAAGCAAAAGGAGACATGATCATCATCTTCGTGTCCCTGTGGGTTGTTTGCACTTGAAAATGTTAACTCAGGGCCATTTTAAGGTAATATTGCATTTCCTGGTTTCAAAAGATCACACGGTATATTAGTAAACCTTGGGATAATGACATTCTAGCATTTTTTGGACAAATAGTAAGTTTCAATAACTGCTTATCCATCTGTGAAAAGATTGCCTTGTGAATCTTCTCTGACCGTTTTAAGTCTTCTAAAACATACAAACCAAACTAATTTTTTTAACTCCATTTAATGTCTTCAAATGTGTGCATGAAAGTTTCTGTGAATATTTAATGACGTATGCAGTGTTTTGTCCATTATGATGGTTGTCTGTTGCTAAATAACTCTTTGTAACATTGTTCTGTTTACAAGTATCTGTGTAATCTGGCAGCTGGTCCCTCCTTGACCAGGAAACGCTAATAGTATTGTATTTGTTAATCAATGATTAGCGTAAGCCACAACAGGAAAGTTCTCACCAAATCCTGGTATTAGGTTTAAAGGGGAACTCCAGTCAGAATATGTTTGGCATGCCCTTTTTGTCTCTATTATACACAACCACCCTTGGGACCTTTTAACAGTGGCTTGATCGTCAGTAAAGCAAAGGGAAATGACTCGTAGGAGGTTGTGCCAAATGCCTGAACATGCCAGCAGTTATACAAAAATATAATGTGCATTTCCATTCACAAGTTTTCGCCTATGCTCTTCAAGCCTGCATTTATTTGATACAAAATACAGTAAAAACATTATCAATGTTGAAAACAGTTGTGCTGCTTCATAATTTTTGTAGAAATCATAGACAGACAGACAGACAGACAGATAGACAGATATATAGATAGATAGATAGATAGATAGATAGTATTAATGTCTAATGTAAACTGGCTTTCAGAATATCAGATATGGGTCTGTTGCAAGGTAATCATTGTATTTACTTTTTATAAAAAATTAGGAATTTTATTTGAAAAAAAAGTTTTATGAAACACGTACACTATGAAACAAAATGTGGTAGTTACAGAGAATCAGAGAAAAAAAAGAACAGCTGAGATTTACCTATATATATATATATATATATATATAAAGTAATACTTTTATTTCGTAAAGATACATTAAACTGATCAAAAGTGACAGTAAAGACATTTAAACATATACAAAATATTTATATTTTCAAATAAATATTTTTAAAACTGCTTCCGGTTCCAAGCGCTCCATCAGATGCCACAAGAAAGCAATAAACATTGCTAATATACATTTATAACGGTGCTAATATACATATTTTTAAATGCTAATAAATAATAATAATAGTGCTCATAATGAATAAATAGTGCTCATAAATGGCTGTTAGATAGTATTCTCAAGTGAAACAATTAGAGTCTTGGACCCAGAAACAAAGTTTCTTATGTCATGACTTAACAAGCGGATAATAAGAAAAGTTTCTTGAGCAGCAAATCAGCATATTAGAATGATTTCTGAAGGATCATGTGACACTGAAGACTGGAGTGATGATGCTGAAAATTCAGCTTTGCACCGCAGGAATAAATTACATTTTTACCATAGATTACAATAGAAACACTTCTTTAAAATTGTAATAATATTTTTCAGTATCACTGTTTTTACTGTATTTCTACTGTATAAATGCAGCCTTGGTGAGCAGAAGAGACTTCTTTCTAAAACATTACAAAATCTTACCAACCCTAAACTTTTGAACTGTAGCGTATGTTATTTATCTAATATGATATTTCATGTTTAATCAAATTGTTTCCACAGCCTGGTTTTAAAATATATATATATCTGTCAAAGCAGTACAGCGACATAACCTTTGACAGCACAGCAGAAAACCATAACAACAATCCTACTGTGGCTTCTACACAAAGTCTTTTTCCTTTCTTAGAGAAACACACATTATGAAACCGAAAAGTGAAAGAGAAAGCTCTCTTGCCAGTGTCAAAGAAGTTTTTAATTCTTTCTCTTAGCTGTTTGCTCAAAGGCATTCTTTTATACGCTAACCCAAACAAGCTGCTCCTCTCTAAATGCAAAACCTTAGAATGCAAAAAAACAAAAAAACAAACATCAACATCATGGCACGGCTTTCACCAAAACCCAGAGGCCAAGCTCCTCCTCTTTGTGAGCAGCCTGACCATACTACAGTCACAGGACACACTGGGGTAAATCAAGCAGCAATGCAGTACACTTGCCTGTTGCTAGGAAACGTAGAGTAGCCAGTAGAAGCTGAGGTGATATTTTAACCTTCATTTCATTGTCCATGTGCTTGAAAGCCGAGAAATCCTGCTTCCTCTCTCGATGGGTGATTCTCTTTTTTGTTTTGTTGTCGGCTGTTGGAAAAGTGGGATGACGGAAAGAAAGTTCAATGCTGTGTAAAACGCCTTTCCTCTTATATTTTCAAATGTATATTTACAACGATACCTAAAGAAGTTTCTGTAATGTTAAGTGAAATTTAAAAGTGAAAGCTAAAAGAAATGTCACTACTTAAAACCATGCCATAGCAAGAGACTGGGGAAATTGTGAGGTAGTTTAACATTAACATGAGTTATTGTATAACTCATTCATACGACATTAGACACTTCATTTTACAATGTACTATTTAAGCTGCTTTGTAAAGAAAACACAAGTCTTTCATGGCACATACTGTATAAGTCTGTCTCATCCAGGATTTCAGACTTGATGATTTCTTCAATGACGTCCTCTAGGGTGACAATGCCAAGCACTTCATAGAACGGGTCGCCTTCTCCTTCGTTGTTAACCCGCTGGACTATTGCCAGGTGAGATTTACCTAGGAAGTAACAGAGTTGTTTAGATGTCGGTTTAGATGCAAATCACTCTTGTTTTAAAGATGTAAACTGTTTACATATTAAAAAAAAATATTTACACTTACATACATGACATATATTGCCCTATATTAATAGTGATCTTGCCTTATATGAGAGAATGTAGTGTATAAATTAGATCCTTATCAATTTGCGTATAAAGAAAATAGGAGTACAGTGTTAATATTTATATGATTTTTATATGGTATTGTTTGTGGCAACCATATATGTCAACAATATATATGTTATTTATATATGCAACTTTGTTTAAACAGCTTATATACACAAATCTGTATATAAGCTGTTTTTGTCATTTACATTTTTTTAATACACGTCTATCTTTTATATTTCCGTATATAACATTTAGGGTGGATATGCATGTACATGATATATATGTCCAAAATGTATTAGACGTTTTTACTTCATATGACAACATATTTCATATACTGTATGGATATATGTTTCATTTGTGTATGTGTAAAAAGGAATATTTACACACGTGAAATGTGTTTTCTAACTGTATCGAAAGGTAATCAAGCTTAAAGGTATGGTTAAAGGTACTGAAAAATAAAAATTGTCATAATTTACTCTTACCCACTTCATGTCATTTCAAACCTGCGTGACTTTATTTTCTGTTCAGAACACAAAATAACACTGGACCTAATTTCCTTTCAAAACGCTGAGGTATTTTATTGTGTTCCACAGAAGAAAGTCAATCAAACAGGTTTGGAACAACATGAGAGGGAGTCAATGATGACAGACTTCTCATTTTTGGCCACACGCACAGATCCTACAGTGTGTAACGGCTGTTGGCCGTCTGATAATGGTATTAGCATCAAAATGTTTGACAACAGCAACAATCCTACTGTGGTTTCGACACCAGATCTTAACCAATCCTACACTTACTAGTTATTTCATTACACTCTGTACAATTTCTCCTAAGGGAGACAATAAAAGAGAAACTTAACTTAACTTATATGTTACTAAGGCAATATATAATTTTCTTACACTTAACATAAAATATTATAATTCTCTGTGTAGATGAAGATTTAAGTTTATAACATATACAAAATCCCCCATTAAAATATGTATATGTGCATACGTTTTTACTTCATATGACAGCATATTTCATATACTGTATGGATATATGTTTCATTTGTGTATGTGTAAAAAGGAATATTTACACACGTGAAATGTGTTTTCTAACTGTATCGAAAGGTAATCAAGCTTAAAGGTATGGTTAAAGGTACTGAAAAATAAAAATTGTCATAATTTACTCTTACCCACTTCATGTCATTTCAAACCTGCGTGACTTTATTTTCTGTTCAGAACACAAAATAACACTGGACCTAATTTCCTTTCAAAACGCTGAGGTATTTTATTGTGTTCCACAGAAGAAAGTCAATCAAACAGGTTTGGAACAACATGAGAGGGAGTCAATGATGACAGACTTCTCATTTTTGGCCACACGCACAGATCCTACAGTGTGTAACGGCTGTTGGCCGTCTGATAATGGTATTAGCATCAAAATGTTTGACAACAGCAACAATCCTACTGTGGTTTCGACACCAGATCTTAACCAATCCTACACTTACTAGTTATTTCATTACACTCTGTACCTGTACAATCAACACTCTACAGTGTCTCAGAGCGTCTCTGGCATGAAATTACTAAATTCAAAAGTCTGACCCTGTTTCCCAAAACACTGAAGTGTTTTGTCTTTGATATTGAAGGTCTAGAGGTCTAGAGTAACTGGATTCAGTCTCAAAACATTATCTATTGTGTCTTTGAACAAAAGTAGTCCAGTCTTAGTGAGAAATATCCACTGGAGTGGACAAACATGTCATAAGCCTTGTGCTCTTTTAAAAAGACTTTCGAAGAAGGATGGAACAAGCTCCTGTTTCTCATAATTGGTGTTTACTTCAACTAAATAAACACTGAAAGCCTGTAAAAGGACATGGGTGAAGCTTTAATACATATCCCAAAGACAAAAGCGCAAACTCTTTTTGTGTATACCGTCAAGCAAAACACCAAACAAATTCTTCGCCCTTTTCTCAGCTTGTGAACTTTTAGAAGGAATTTTCCAGAGAGCCAGGCTAATATTAGCCCTGAAATGAAGTTTCCATTCCACTTGGCCAATATTCTCACCAAAGCTACTGCTGGGTGATCTGATCTGTCTCAGAGCTGGTCGTTTACATGCAGATGGCCATTTGCTGAAATACTAGGAAGCCTGGGACGCACTTGTGGCAAACCCCATGACAACACACAAACAATGATTGGGTATAAATCTCTGCTTAAGGAGTGTGGCATTAACTTGAGTGTGTGTATCTTCTTTTCCTTATTTTGCCTCTACAATGGCTTCAGTGAACATGAAGCATGTAGCATGGGAAAAGTGTACTTTATGTTTGCAATCTTATATTTTTTTACATCACCAAAGTTTGGAATTAATTATATTATTACAAATAAATGCAGTGTCTTATTATCCCATAAGGAAATTTAACAATGGCATATACCTATAGAACAACATATATTTTTCACACAAGTACATTCTCAGACGAAGATGTAAGTTTATAACGTATCTAAAATCCCCTTAGTAAATTAAATTTGTATATGTACATATGTTAATAAAATCGATATGATGATATTTGTATGGTATTATATGTGGCCACCATTTGTCAACATTTATCTATATATTATGCAATATACATGACATATATGTCCAAAAATGCAAAAAATACATAAACATACATATTTGTAAGGACTACATATATGTTAATATATGAAACAGCTGAAACAGTTTCTTATATGTGTTTACTTAATATAACAATATATTTCATATGTGTTCAATTTAATACACATGTATTACATTTGCGTATGGGTTAGACCAATAACTAGAGATGCACCGAAATGAAAATTCTTGGCCGAAGCCAAAGCCGGACAAAATGAAACGTGTTTCGTGTTTTTTTTTCCCCCATGTATTTTGCCAATTTTTTCACCATTGCATAAATTAAATACCCAAATTTTGCTTTTTACAGTTTTGTCTTGCTTTTCAAAGAAAAAAAAAACAATTACAAAACAGCAATTTCAAAATATTTACTAAACACTGAACATTTTTTAACATTCTGGCAGACATCATACCACAAAACACAATTTAACTTAAAATTAATAAGTTTTTTAATAATTTTTGAGACCCCCTTCTTGAATCAGGCATGTATTTTTTACTGTACAAATAAATGCAGCCTTGCTGAGCAGAAGAAAATTATTTTAAACCATTAGAAAATATATCAGATCCCACAGATACAAATCTATTACAGATTTCAACACTATGTGTGAATGTTATAATAAATGTGTTAAAGGTGACATATCATGAAAATCTGACTTTTCCAGGTTTTAAGTGCTATAATCAGGTCCCCGGTGCATCTACCAACCAAGGAAACGTGAAAAAGATTAACCCAGTTACTTTGTTTTGTTAAGCCTTTTTCTGCAAGAGTCTGAAAAAACGACCGCGTCTTATTTCGCTCCACTAGTGACGTCAGAAAGGGATCTCATCATAATATTACCGCCCCTTAATCTGGACATTTCCACCCACAGCGCCGTCATTTTGATTTCGCAAGCAACAACGGTGTACCAGCTCTAATGCCGTCTGTGGGGTATTTTGAGCTGAAACTTCACAGGCACATCCTGGGGACACCAGAGACTTATATTACATATTGTAAAAAGGGGCATAATATGTCTCCTTTAATAAAGTCCTAGCTGTTGTAATTATTATTATCATTATTATTGTTTTACTTTTTTATTTTATTTTACAGAACAACAGTAAAATTACAATACTAACATTTATGAATGCTGATGGAGCTTTTATTTTGGCGGAAACCCCCAGGAAGAATTCAGTGCTTCTTTTTGTTGACAACAACAGATTTATAAATGATTCTCATTAAGAATTTGGGAAGATGTTTGTCGCACGTATCACATTGTCACATGCCTTTAAAAAATGTTTCAGCGCAGATTTTCCTCGCGCCGTGAGCTCGTGCAGCGCTGTTTGAATACATGCAATTCATACGTGTATTAGAAAACATAATGTTCTGCAGTTTATTTACATATTGTTTAAGGCCATTTCGCGATTTCAATCATCATACAGTAACCAGCAACAGCCACCCTTCCCCTTCTCATTGAAGACATGCGATACAGTACTAAACAGTCTCTCGCTGTCGGTGCTTGTTATGATTTTTGATCTTTCTCGGACGGTTTTAAATGCTTCCACACTGCTGACATGTTTACTGCATTAGGGCGCGCCTCTATTTCATCGTGTCACGTCATTGATCGGTACAATTTATTCGGTCTTTTCGCTTATTCTTTTTCTCTATTTTTTGCTATTTTCGGCTGAATAATTTCGGTTGCCGAAAATTCAGTGCATCCCTACCAATAACCTCGTCTGATCTAGATTCTTGTACAAACAACCCATCTGCACAACACTATAATCTAAATCTACAAATCTCATTCAAGGTCAGACAAACTTAAACAACTAAATCTCAAAAGGAGCCTGAGTTACACTAGTTCTTAGGGGTATACTAGTTCTTAGGGAAATACTAGTTCTTATTTGATATGTGACAATGAAGATACTTGATAGCAAGGGTTACCAGTGTTACCACAGAAAACAACTCCACAAGACAGTGTTTTAATAACATCAGTCAACCCTTTGTATGCAAGTGGAAATGAATCACCCTTGAAGAGAGGACGTAAGGGCACGGGTCAAGGGGTAGTAGAAGCCACAAGACTAAATAAATAAGTGCTCAAGCATTAAATCTCTGCACACAAAGAGGGGTTTATTCAGGCCACAGTGGAAAAAAACATGTTTACTTTATGTATTTTCCCTCATAGGTTCCCTTGAGTACACCATATCTCACCCCTTCAAGGAAACAAGGATATTAGCTTCTCATCTGTTCTCTGCGGGGATTATTTCTATCCC